TTTTTTTTTTTTTTTTTTTTTTTGTTCAATTAAACAGAAACGGGAAATAGAAAACAGAAAATGTTGAAACATATTTGAAAATTTTGCCTTAACAAGAAATAGAACATGAAATTTCAGCAGCAGCAGCAACAAAAGTTGTCAAAAAATTAAGATTACTATCTTAAAAAAAAAAACTTTTTTTTTTTCATCATTTTTTATCAAAAATTTTCATTTTATACTTCATTCTTTTTTTTCTATTTTCATTTCTCATCTCTAATCAAGTAGAATCGTCTAAAACTTCTGTTGATTCAAGGAGATCAAATCTAATATGTTGCAACTTCTCTAATAAACAATTAATCTTTATACTGCTGTACAGACTGTAGTAAACTTGGTTCCATTTGGTGATCACTGAACAATTGAACAGATTGATAAACCATATTTCAAATAGGCTAAGTTCTAAAAGAATAATCAACAATTAAATGGTTGATAAGTGTTACATTAAACTGTAAGTTATTTAACACTGTAACACAGAAAACAAACGACTTTTTTGGCATTGATTTCTTCTGATTCTTAGTTCAATCTTCCGTCTAAATTGGTTATGCAGCAGTTTCGCTGAATTCTCTTTTTTATTTTTGCGACAATTGGTTTTTCCTATTTCTTTTTACCTGTTATAGATCTGTGACTTTAGTCCCTCTTTTTTGCTTACTGCTATAGTTTTCGACACTCAAATTAAGTTGTTCATAGCAAAAGCAAAAGCAAAGCTAAGCTAAGTCAAAGAAAAAAAAAGATAAATGTTAGCATTCTGTATTGTTTTGATAGACATTCCACAAACAGTTTTTTCTTCTCCTTTTAGTCAGCAACATTATAGCTCTAAAAAAAAGTGGAAAAAAGCAAAAAAAATTTTTTTGATTTTTTTGATGAACAAAAGCATTTTTTTTTTTTTGCTTTCTGAACATCTCAATAAATTTAGCACTATTCATAATAGTTTTTTTCGTCAACCAATAGTGGTTTTTTTTTTTTTTGTTTTTGCAATCTGAATAAGTGCTTTTCTCCGGTGCAAATTCGTTTATTCCATAAACGTCAAAAATTTTTTTCTTTTCTCCTTGCCTTGCAAAATTTGCTTTAAAGGTGGCAAATTAAATAATATTAACAGAAAAAAAAGAAAAGAAAAATGTGTTTTATTAGTTACTCAAAAATTTCAGTGCAAAAAGAGGAGTAGAAAAAAAATAAAACACTGAAATACTACTGCTTTTTTAGTTGTTCCATTGGAACTGATCTTTGATAACCTTTATTTGTGCTTTTTATAATTGCTTAAATTGTCCTGACAAATGCGTAAGCTAGTTGATTTCCATGTTTATTTTATAAAAGACTAAGCGAAAAAAAAAAACTAATAACGTTGAAATCCAACTGTCAAGCACTAGGTTTAGTGTTTTTTTTTTCCCCAGTTATCTGTCTCAGTTTCGAATCAACAGTGATCAAAGAAAAATACATTTATTGACGGGTTATTATAGTTTGATAGAATAGCACTATAGTCTATTTATTGCTTAAAGTATCGGCAAAACATTGACAACCTATAAATCCCTTCTTTTTTTTTTTCTTTCTTTTTGTGTATAGAAAAGATGGAAGGAACACAGAAATATTGAACGGAAAACTGGATGTCTGTATCTGTGTAACAAAATTACCATTTCCTCTTTTTCTTCAAATTTCTCATAACTGTTTCCCTGTGATTATGAGAATAGAAGTTTTGACGTTTAGTGAAACATAACAAAGCATTAAAATTTGTCTCAAGCTCAAAAGAAGCCTTTTTTCTTTGTTTTTTTGTCTTCTCAAGAATTTCCTTCATTCCCCACTTCTTCTTTCACTTTCCGTTCCAAGGCAGATTTCTGAGTAAGGGGAACAGAAAATGTAGTTCAGTAAATTAGAGGCAGTGATGTAGGAAGAAAAAAGTAGAGGGTGAAAGAAAAAAATGCGAAAGAGTTAGAAGTGTAAAATGTAGAGGAAGAAGCTGAATGACATTTGCTCGGTTTGTGAGCAGCTTTATAGACTACGTCAGGGATTGCATGCTGCATTTTACTGAGACGATGTTTTTGCTAATTCAAAGATGCGCTTTTTTTTTCCGTCGACGGTTTAGGGTCTTAACTTAATGACAGAATTCATTTAAGAAAGAAAAGTTGAACTGTTGAGCTTATGGCTGCTGCTTGGTAATGTTTATTCAGTTGCAGTGTGGAAGGCGATCGTCTTTTTACTTTCATCATGTTTTCAAAAGCCTACTCAGCCAGATGAATCTCCTCGTGCCGTTGTCATTATCATCATCTAAAAAAATTCTAATATATTTTCTTCAGTCCTGATCTGGTGTTGATTTCAGTAAACGTCAGTTTAATGTTGGACTTGCTGCTTGTAGGTAAATGTCATTTTAAAAACTTCTCAATTTTTTTTGTTGATCACTTATTGAGGACAGTTGGACAGCTTATTATTTTGCCATCACTTTGCTAGATTGGGAGTGTAATTGATTGTTTTGCTTTAGAAAAAAACAAAGTTTTTTTGTGTACATATCGCAGTTGAATGTTGTTTTTTTTATCAAAATTTTTTAATTTTTTAATTATTATTATCAGTTGGTTTATGTTTTTTTTTTTTTTTTTTACGATGTTGGCTACCAACTTGTGCCGGTGAAAGAGTTTTCAGACGCAGCTGTAATTGATTCCGTATTTCATCTATATCTGTTAATTTGATATTTTTGAAAAATTATTGATGAAATTTTCACAGATATTTGTTAGAAATATAGAAATAAATTGAGCAGTGAAAAAAAAAAAAGCGAAAGAAAAGACAAAGAAAGACATTAAAGATTAAGAAATTATAATTTTGAAGACATTTTACTCTTCTCTTATTAATATTTATTGTAACGTCAAAAAGGCACTATATATAGAGTTTTTAAATTACTTAGTTGCTGATTTATTTATTAATCATTGCTTGAAAGGCAAAACCTTTTCTATGCATTTTGCCGGGTAATAATTTTGCGAAAATTTATAGCTGTAAAAAGTTGTGTAACAATGACACCAATTTTATATATTCTACGATAGAGGTCAAATATTCGAAGCAATTTCACTGTTTTATTAATTTCTAAAGCAGTTTAAGGCCAGTTTTCTAAAATACAGTTTCAAAACAATGAAAGTGTTTTGCATATGTATACCA